ACTTCCCCCTTTTTCTCTCTATACACGTCACTAAACCAAATTAGAAATCATGTATAGATTTTTCGTGGAAGCGAAACGCCAAAATTGCCCCTTCTAGTACTTCTACTGCTTGAAAAAGAAACTGCAAACATCCCCCACAAGGACGACATCAAGCAAAGATGTAAGGAATTTTAGTTGACACTCTCACACAGGTGAACAAACGAATTCCACAAGCAAGAGATGCTTTTAAAAACCCGAGTCTGCTTTCACCAAGTTGTGTCTTAAGCCAAAATTAATTTTCTTAGCAAAAATTAGTGAATTGCCATTTCAACACTTACAGTATCGACACAGGTTGAAAATATCGAAAAGTAAACTTTGTTAATTGGCAACAGGAAAAACCTTTCACTTTCAAGCAAACAGGAATTCCTTATGATTCTGAGCAGTTTTGGTTTGGAGCTTTAGAACATATATCATTTAGGCCCATGTATAAATATTGCCATATTTATGCACCGACGTGCCTCACAACTCCTGCCATCAATGCTGTTGCGGAAAGATTATTTTCCTTAGCGACTGCTGTTAAAACAAAGCTTAGAAATAGGGTGCAGATATGCCTACTTGATGCAATAATAAGAATTCGCTCCAATCTTGTTTGGAATGGAAAAGGCTTCCACAACTTTTCTGATACTCCTGTGATGATTTTTGCACACACTAGTGAGAATTTGTATCAGCTACACTCAAGGCTTCATCCGCTGCATCTGCACTTTAACCAGCTGCCACATCACAAGAAGATAGCACTGCTGGTGTAGATGCAGCTTTGCAGATATCAGGAGTATAGTGCCTTGTAAATAGAACTTGTATATATAATATATGTACGCTTATCTGTTGTTAAATTGTTCCCGTGAACTAAAATTTTTAGTTCACCTCTAGATCTACATGCAAATTATTGTGCTTCAAGACGTTAGTCTTCAAGCAGTATTTGGTAAATGTGAGGTTAAGAGCTAAAGGCTGTACAAGAGGACTGAGGAAGATAACAGAAATGGGAGCAGAACAATAGAAATTAGCGATAAGCAATAACAGGATTTAATAATTAAGATCTTTTTACCACTTGGCCTCGAAAATTGGCCTCCTAATTTCTATTTGGCTTCCAACCTGACAAGCTTCGGCCTCCTATTTGTTTGTTTTTGTTTTTTATCTGGCAACCCTGCTGCAGCTCCCGAGTCTAAATTTACAAAGGCCTTAGCAAAGATAGTACATATTAACAAGATGGGCCACTTCTCTCTTTGAGCCAATTAAAAAAGTGTCCTCAAAATTCGGTGACGCCCTCTTCACAAAAGCGCACCTTTTGCGAACAGTTATCCTACTTGAGTTTAAAAAATCAAAGTGAAACTAGCAAGTTTTTTTATGAATTTTGGAAGAACGCTTTTTTAAAATGGTTACGCTGACAAAAAACCTCTTCTGGAGGAAAGGGTGATTGTTTTCTTCGTTTAATTTGACTTTAGAATGAAAGGCGAGAGGTCATTAAAATAAAACAAAACCCTAAAACTCCGCACTGAACGAACCCGAACTGCTGATGAACAGCAGTCGATCTGCGCACGCAAGGAGGTGCTATTCCTATTCTTCTTCTGGAAAAACGAAAGAGAGCTTCTAAACAGACTGCAGCGCCATCTGAAGCAAAGAGCATACTTCCTGCGAACACTTTTTTTTCCTGAGTGGCCCATCTTGTTATTTACTATCTTTGGCAAGGCCTATAGGGCCTAGCCTAGTGCGGTCAAAAATTCGTGGCGCAACTTATCCTCAAATATCTTTATAACGGTAAAATCAATGTCTCCCATGCTTTGCACCGCACTTCGTCTCAATTTGTCTTAATTTAATCATATTTTTCCACTACAGTTGAAGCTAGATTTTTAAAAATTCTCTTCATAGGTTTATATAAAACACTACAAATCTCCCACACACATTATGTATGCGCATATTATGGGTTACGTCACAGCTCACCAATGATTTTAGTGGCAAAACTGGATACAAGAAATTAATTTTATAATGAACACTTTTAGCTCTAATAGTTTTCTAAACATGAGTTCAATAAAGATATCTCGCGATTAGGAAAAAAAATGACGGATTTGTTTTTAAAAGCCTTATATCGTCCCAGCTGTAAACCCTTTAAAATGAGTAGAAACTACCCGCTAGGATTTTTTAAATAAGTATTTATTAAGAAATGTTCTAAAATAGAGCTAACAATTGTTTACAATAATATTGATCTGTTAAGACAAATTGACACTCGTCCCTGTGCAAAAGCGGGAGAGTTTATGTTCGATAGTAGAGGAGATATTTGACAATAAGTTGCGCCATGAATTTTTGACCGCAGTGTGGGCTAGACGTGTTGGCTATATTCAGTGCCGTACATTATCCTTATCCTTTCCAACAAAAGCCGGCTCGCACAAGTCATGATAACTTTTGGTAGACCAGCTAATCCCAAAAGGGATTCTCCCAGTTTCACCCCCCACCCCCACCCCCCTTTTTCCCGAAAGTTCAATATAGTTGCAGCCCATTACAGCACTCATATAGATCTCTTTCATCTCTATCGATTGAAATGTTCTCATCTCATGACTCATGTCCATTTCAGCGAACAGAAAAAGCAACGTACTTTGGCTTTCGTCAGAATGCAGTGTCTAATCCTGTTAAACCAAGAATCGAACTCAGCCTAAGCCTACAGAAAAGGACGAATATCCTCGGTATAACATCGCACTTAGACATAAGTAGGTCTGTGAGGATTAACGACTTCTGTATGATTCATTATTGTGTAGTGTAAACGCTCTTCTCTTCAAAACGACTGAAAATAGATAGTTTGATGAGATCCCCCTTTGAATGGTCCGCCCTCTACAAATCCACAAACAAAACAAACACATTTAAAAAGGAGGAAGAGAATAAAGAGTTTCAAGCTCAACTGTGTAACTGATGAGGGGGATATATAGACAGAGACTTTGGCTAACGATGCCAAGGGGTTTTCCTTACCACAGGCCACAGACGCTTCTATAATGATTACCTAGCATTCAACTTTCTTTCTTTTTCGATCAATGGATCGAAGAGTTAAGTACAACCTCTTTGGTGGACATCTATCAGAAATCGTGTTGAAAAGTAGGCCTATCTTAGTTTGTTTTTTAAAGTAGAGATTTTACGGCGCTCGCAACTGCATAAGGTCATACTTGAATACTGGAATGTAGAACAGGGGTCTTGGGAAGACGGGGTGCTCCATGCATAAGGTCATATATGCATACGGTCATATGCATATGGTCATATGGACGCCAACAGGTGGATGTCCAGTGGCGGTGGGTAGTGAAGGGCTCACGGGCTTGAACCCCCCCCCCCTCCTCCCCACCCCCAACTTTATCCCAAGGCCAATGAAAATAACGAAATAAGCAGTTGAAACTGTTCTGATCGCCCGCAATGAACACAGAGTGATCAATTTGGCGGCTTGCTCATTTATCCAATCACTGTTGTCCCCGCTTACAACTATAGTAACCTAACAGCCAATCAAATGTCTTTAGGGCTCAGCAATCAACCAGCCCGCTCCCACTGTGTCTCCTCCATGAAACCCCTCTTGTAAAAAGGTAGTAGACTTGAAAAAAATAACACTGCACAGAGGGCTCACGCTCTCCGAGCCCTGACAATGGGGTGAAAGTTTACGACACACTTTCCCCAAGTGACACAGTTACCTATGCGCCCATAGGGCCTTTGTTAGGCGCGTTTTATTTTCTGCAACAACACGACCCTATCCACCTCATACACTTTATGTGTTTGGAGTTTGGAGTGCTGTGTGTTTGTGCCGCTGAGATTTAACAGTTATTAATTACATCAAACCACTTTGGAGGCAACTTTTTCATCAAATAAAAACTAATTAGAGAAATTTGGAGGTGAAACGGCTTCGTCCCCACCATCCAGAAGAATTTAAAGTAGAACAAAGAGATGGCACACAAAGATGACTCTTCTCGTTTGAATGGTTCTCAAAATGCCGTGGCTCGCCGTGAGTATAGAAAAATCATCACTGTGTTGTTCTTATTGCTTGCTTTTTGGTGGTAAAAAAGTGGAAGAAACCTAAGCCCCACCTAAATCTAGGTTCACCCACCGCCACTGTATGTCAACATAGAAGTCTTAACAGTGAATCAGGCTTACTCTGCTCAACTCTCTAGCTTTAACAACACAATGTCTGCTTCGACTATCAAGGCACCCCGGAAATAGTGGGTTGCAAGAAAGTGACAACATACAAACGAAGTAGATGAAAAATGACTATAGTAAGGGTTAGGAAAGAAAAAGCAGCAGCTCCCCTTTGCAGTTCAGGCACAGTTATGAACATTACATTGATGAATGAGCCCATTTACAATTATACTGAACGTGTTATAATGTCCCCCCTTTGGGAATGGCCTAAACACTCTTGAGTCAGTAGCACCGCCCCGGGGCGACAGGCCTATCTCCTGGACTTGGACGTTTCAAGTTCAAAGGTTGATCTTCATCTTGCCAAAGATTGTACATAACAAGATAGTATACTCGGCTAAAAAAATGTTCGCGGAAGTCCGCGCATTGGTTCTGATGTCGCTGCAGTCTTTGTTTTTCAGCTGTTCCGGTTCGCTCAGTGCGGAGTTTTGGGGTTGTTGTTTTTTAATGACGTTTCGCCACTCGTTCTAAAGCCAAATTAAAAAAAGAAAAAGGAGAAAACAGTCGCCCCTTCCACCTGAAAAGGATTTTTGTCAGCGTAACCATTAAAAAAAGGCGCTATACCGAAATTTTAATTATAATTTATACAAAAACTTGTTAGTTTAACTTTGATTTTTCCACACAATTAGGGTTACTCTGTCCGCAAAGCGGGCGCTTTTCGAAGAGGGCGACACCAGATTTTGAGGACATTTTTAATTGGTTCAAAGAGGAGTGAACCATCTTGTTATACAGAATCTTTGGTGAAGTTCCCATAATAATAATATATCGATACTGTTAATTTTGGCTGGTTAAAACGATCTTTGCTCGCTCAAGTGAATGGGCGGGGAGAGTTACAACTACAACTAGAGTCTAGAACGATGATTGTAACTGATTTTGTGAGAATTGTTTTCATACCCCCAGTTCAAAAATAGAGTTTTAATTATTCAGGTGAGTGCTCCAAAAGATATACTTTAGATCTAGATCTATATCTAAATCTAGATCTAGATCTAGATATCTAGATCTAGAATCTAGACCGCGTAGGCCTAAGAAAGTGTACCCTGTTCTAGATCTAGATCTAGATTCTAGATCTATCTAGAGAGAATCTAAAATCTAGATTCTAGATCTAATCTAGATTCTAGATATAGATCTAGATCTATATATCTAGATCTAGATCATCAGTGCTTTCTAGCGTAACATCATGGGTTCGATGAAACTCTAGCCAGGCGTTCGGCGAGTTCGTCCAACGGGTTTGGCAGAGGTCAAAGGCTGCTTTTATCGGATCATTACGAATTCGGTGGAATCATTTCGTTGTGACTTATAACTTATTTACTTATTAAGAATTTTAAGCAAATATAATCGTAACTCCCCTGATTTGGATTTTTTGAAATACAAGATTGCCGATTTTGACTAGATATCTACACATCCTCACCCCCCCCGGCATAGATATCTAGAGATTCTAGATAATGAAAGAAAAACAATCAATCTACATGTACTCAGTTACAGTAGCTTAGTCTAGGCACCCACATCAGGTGCAACTTACTTAGGCTTCCCCTGTGCAAGGGGCTCTCGAAGTCACTCTGTGCCACCTTGCCCACTAGAAAAAACATTAGTAGGCCTAAGTTGCTGCAAAGTTAGGATGTAGATCTAGATCTAGATATATCTAGATCTCACTTGGAAGGCAAACATTCGCCATTAGTTTTACACACGACAAGGCGTAAAAACAAAATTCCTTCACTTTGCGTTGTGGATGACATTGGCCTAGCGCCGGTCTGTACGTACGTATGTATGCATATACTTGCTGCATGTAGCCTATGTGTCTTTTTTTTCCAGGTGAATGGCATCGTCTATAGAAGTCAACAGGTCTTCCCTTCCTTTGTTTTTGCTGGTGGCAGGGCTCAGCTGTACAGTTTCTAAAGGTACCGAAAGTCTTGACAGCATGGCCTTGACAAATTTATCAGTGACAGTGTTTCGTTCATTTGGAGATAGAGCATTGAAATGCACTATAATATAAATTATATATATGCAATATTGTTATTGTTATCCCTGTAAATCTCCATGCTACAAAAAGGAAGTTAAAGATGACGACCAAAAATATTACTAGAAAAGAAAGAGGCAATAACTGATAAATCGGTAGTAAGTTTCTATGTTAGATTATGAAAATGGTCTCATTCGGTAACTATCAGTAAAACGTGTTCGTAAACGTGATCCCCTGTGACATGATTGAGTTATCAAAGGGATACCACGTTGGTCCCACCAGTCCTGTTATAGCCAGGGCCCACTGATTGACACTTGTGAGGTTCCGTACCTCCATTTCCAACGAGCTTGAGGACCATCACTGATCTGGTTGGTGCGTACTTCTGATGTAAAATTCAGCAGCGGAACCTTCGCCTGTTGTAGAAGAGTGTGTTTCTGAGTTTCTGATATGGGAGAAAGTCTGTAAAGTGTGGCAGATGATGTATCTAATGTGGGAGGGATGTTTCCCGTGGTGAAGGTGGAGAATAACTTATCTGTGGGTATCAGTTGGGCTAAAAAGTGTGTGTGTGTGTGTGTGTGTGTGTGTGTGTGTGTGTGTGTGTGTGTGTGTGTGTGTTTGTTTGTTTGTTGAGAAGGTGGTTTCATCTTGTTGATGACTATATTATTTTTATCCTACATTCAGCCAGCTGTCCTGAGGGTTACTATGGTATTGGCTGTTTGCAGCGTTGCCGTTGCCATCAGTCAAGGTCAGCATCATGTGATGAGCTGAGTGGCAGATGTCAGTGCAAACCAGGCTACACTGGTACAGCATGTCAGGAAGATATCAATGAATGTTTTCTGGAACACCCGTGAGTACTGACTGACCTTTTTAAAGGTAGGATCACTCTTCTTGTGGCTTGACGTACACTGCCAAACTCTGTTCTATAATCTGTTTTGTCAGCGCTGTGTCCAACATAATGACATTTCATTAACATACTGGACTATTCTGTTTTGTCTGCATTTGGGACTCCTCAACATTACAGCAGTGGTGTGATTTGTCATTCCTTTAATCTTTCATGGTACATTTGTAACTCATCCGATGACAATTGTGTGAAAAGCCCCAACCCTTTACCCCTCCCACATTCCATCAAATTGTACTGCACTTTCTTATTTAGCCGGTGTTTTTTACCCTGACATGTTGCTGATTTGCTTGTCAGACCATGTCGAGGTAGGAACCAGTACTGCTACAACACTCCGGGATCCTACGAGTGCCACTGTCGTGTTGGCTTCCGTTTCTCTGAGGCTTCAGGTGTCTGTTACCGTAAGTTTACAATCCTGCTGTGGTGTTTGGTAGCCTAAAGGTTATCATGGTTTTTCAATGGCACTATATTCATATCGATTGCTCTGTGTAAAGACTGTGGTATGCCATTTTGAAATGTGAAACACTTAACAATCAACGCGTGGTTTGTATGTGTGGTATTTTGGGTTGTTTTTTTAACAAAGATTCAACAGTCTGGGTTTGAGCATTCACTTTGTTTAGGAAAGTTTTACTGAAGTGCTGGGAACCATGGAGTGTCCTGAGTACGAGTATATGTCGTATGAACATTACTGTTTTCTATTTTCTGTTTCCAGCATGCCCACGAGGAAAATATGGGCACAATTGTAAGCAGTCCTGCTCCTGCCAGAACGATAACACAGCCATCTGTGAGACATCCTCTGGTAATTTGGGGGGGGGGGGGGGGGGTGAGAGGGGGTTGGGTTAGGGAGACTTGTGGTCATGCTTTCCCATCCCTTGCACTGACGCCCATATCATGTACATATATATGTAAGAGCTCAAGCTAAGTCACCCAGATTGGAAGGGAAACTGGGCCTGCCAGTATAATATGAATATAGTCCACCTATTTTTTCCTATTTTTTTGGGGTTAGTGTTTTACGGCGCTCACAACTGCATGTCATATAAGCGTGCGGGACACACCTAACATTTTCAGTTGGTACGAAATTTTGAATTTTGTCCAGGTGGCGGCCGAAGCCTACTCTTATCGATTTTGGACCACCAAGGGGTCTTTAACGTGAGCAACTTGCACACGGGACCTCCGAGATTTTTCGCCCTTGTCCTGGAAAGCTAGGTGTAGATCTTTCCTACCTGAAGATCAGGGGTGTGTCTGAAAGACAACAGTAAAAAAGAGCCAAAGAGAAGCTGTGGAAAGGCTGCAGAAAGAGTCAGGAGCCTAGAGGAGGGGGCAAAGGAGGTGAGGACTGGGGGCCGAAAGTGGAGACGAAAGCAGACGACAGAACATGGCTAGAGAGCAGGAAAGGAGATGAAGGGAGACAATTTCAGAGAAGAAAATTTGTCCGTCGCTACCCGGATTCGAACCCGAGACCTTTGAATGAGAGGCGAACACCATAACCTCTAGGCCACGAGAGCCCCCAGGCCACCTTTTGTTGGATGGTCAGTTTAAGGGACGGTGTGGTTTAAATATGCGGCTTATCATTGCCAAAAGTGGAGCCTACTGCTGATGCCTGTGAGATACGACAAAAGACTTGCATACACGTTTCCCTGCCCTTCTGCTCTGTGCTAGTTTTTAGATAGGAGATAATAAAGTTGTTCATTCTGATATTATATGGTGGGCATGGAGCAAATTGACTTAAATATGTAATATTGTGGACATGTATGCATGCACATGTGTGTATGTGTGTGTGTGTGTGTGTGTGTGTGTGTGTGTGTGTGTGTGTGAGGGGTAAAGGGTTGGGTTAGTTATGTAAGTAGCAGCATAGTGACCTGGTCATCTTTGTTCTCAGGTATGTGTATCTGCTACCCAGGCTGGGAGGGTGCTACCTGTGGTGTGTCGGTGGACGACTGTCGCGGTAACCCGTGCCCGGGACAGTTGTGTGTGGACAAGCATCAGGGCTACCTGTGTCTGTGTGAAACAAAGCAACGTGTGGTGCAGGGCGAATGCAGTGGTAGGTCCTGTCAGGTTGTCTGTGTACCGAAACTAGATGTCCTCATCTCTTTCGTGCAGTGAAAAGGGAATGTATGTTTCATCTGCCCTGGGCAACAACGCCATTGCACACCGGACAGGTCCATAAGTGCTCAGTTCATCTCAACACCAAAGCCCACAAAGTATCCATAATAATTGTTCCAGTGGCTGTTTGATTATGGCGACGTCTTTCCTTTCCAGATAATCGTCCCTTTCTTCCCTCTCCCGTCCCTATCCCCATTTCCCGCATCCTGATGATTGCATGGTGTTCTGCTGTCTCCCTGTCTTCTTCATCCCGCAACTTTTCCTCCAGGGTCTTCAGCACTTCTCCTTTGTCAAATTTCACCTTACCATCAACCACGGCACTGCCTGCCAGCCTATCAGCCTCCTCATTGCGCTTCACCCCAGAGTGCCCAGGACAGAATATCCACGTGATGGCTCTAAGTGATGAGTGTTGTATTGGGTTCATCCATTCACTCCGAAGCAGCCCTTTCTCAACCCTTCGCAGGATGCATTGGGAGTCAGTGACAATAATGAGATAGGTAGTTCTTGGTCTTGTATTTTGAATACAGCCAAGCGCTCTTGTTACGGCCTCAATCTCCATTTTCATGCTTGAAGTTGTTCTTTCTATGGCCCCTGACATGCTATGAACCTGTTTGTTCCCACTGTACATCACAAAACCCCACCCAATTTTCTCACCCCTTCTGACCGATCCATGCGTGTAGACCACTGGGTACTCTGACTTAGAGTGCTCCCCAATTAACTGTCGTATGGCGTTGTCATTAATGACAGCAGCACGTTCACGTCTTTCACGACCCATAGTGATGTGAACGTTGGCCAGGCCTCTGTAATCCGGGCACAGTTTAAACCATTTCTTTCCACTGCATATTTCATCGATGCCACAAACTTTTCCTCAAGAAGTCTTCAGCTTCTGCCATCCATGAGCTGCCCCGTTTGATCCTATTTCCTTTGATGCTGCTTAGGTTATCATGCAAAGGGTGCCTCGGGTCTCCCAAAACATTCAAGTACAGCTTTGCCTGTGCCACCTTATGCCTCACTCTGATGCTGGCCAGGTCTAGGATGTATCTCCTACAGACAACATGGGTGTCCTTTGTTCAACCCAAGACTGCCCTCATATCTGCATTCTGTACTCTCTCCAACCTGTCTATCTGAGTCCTGGACAGGGACAGGATTCCCAGACCATAGTCTGTGACTGACAGAACAACCAGCTGCATTAGGAGAAAAAGAACTCTCTGTTGAATTCCCGCTGAAGCTAAGGTCTTCACTACATGAATGCCCTTCTGAGCCCTGAAAGCAGCATTGTCAATATGTTTTCAGAAAGAAAGTATCTTGTCCTGAGTGATTCCCATGTACTTCAACTCATGCTGTCAATGAGAAAGTGGTCAAATTTGTTTTCATGTCAGACTGGGCCTCATGCCTCATGTCTCTGCCTCATGCTAAGGTGATCTCAGTTTTGCTGGAGGATAAGGCAACTCTTTGAGGACTTGTATGGACATATGTCTTCTTGAGACTACCAAAATGACAATCTCGTGTTTTTCCCCTTAGCTAGTTTTAGATATCAATATAACAAAACTGTGTGGATTGGTTTTCCTGTATGATTCCCAAACTATCCATTTGTAAAAAAATTGTATGATTCGTGTACTGTCCCTAAACTATAACATTTTTGCTGTGCTGTTCCAAGACTACCAAGTTGAGGAATATCATTCTGTCATCCATATAAACTGTAGAGATGACAAATATCTTTTCCATAGCTCTTCCCAGACTACAAAATCTTGTTTTCCCTAATGCTTTTTCCAGACTACCAAGTTGATATGATCTCCTTCAACTTGAACCCTGGCGTTGGGGAACTTGTTGACATCTACATCCTATTTGCTCTGCCCCAGGTATACCAAGTGCATGCTTCGTACGGACCAAACTTTGTCTACAAAGTGAGTTTTTCAACCAGTCTGTTCTGCCTGGTATAACGTTGTGTCATTTCTGGTGGGTGTCGTGTTCATGTTGAACAAGACCTAATATGCTGCTGGATGCAGTGCTTTTGGGATTACTTTTTCTGGTGCTGCTGACTCACTAGTTATGAAACTTTCCGTGGGTAGTTGGCCGGTGCTCTGGTGTGGTTTGCTTCTTCTTTCCTATCAAACATCTATTGTCCTTATTTCCCCTTCTTCTTTTTTCTGTTTGTTACTCTCTTGTAACACCTCTTATCTTCTGGCGCTCATATGACCTTATGCAGTTGCAGGCGCCGTGAAACCTCTACTAAAACTAAACCAACTGAACCTTCCTCTTCTCCTGCTCCCTTTACCTAGTGGCTTCACCGCATGCAATAGCTGTGTATATTGTATGGTTCTCTCTTCTCTCTGATTGGTGATGGTGGGGTGTTGAAATTAGGTAACAGAAATGTCAGGCAATGTCTTGCTATCATAGAAAAAGACTCAACTGATAGGGTGGGATGATGACTGTAAGGATATGTTTACATTTCATTAATTACCTACCTTCCTGAATTGTCCAGTTTTTATTTAAAATTTTCTCTTTATAATTGTTTTCCATTCTACTCTTATTCATCTGCAGGGGGTGATTCTGATACAATTTCGCCTTGTTTTATGTCTATTATGTTAAGAATACTTCTGGAAACAGCAGCTGGAATCTAGTGATCAGTGACCTCTGTCTTAGGTGGAGCGTTTACTCAGTTTCATAGTGACTCCATGCATCAGGCCCATTTTCAACTGTAATCACCTCGGTTTTGACTGTTTTCTTTATCAACAGATCTTGGTGCTAAACGGCCCAGATGCTCCTACCAAGACAGACACTGGTATACATTTGCATACACATCACCTTTGATCCCCTTCTACAATACACTATTCAACCTACGAACCACTCATCCTTTGCAGAGGTCTGCAGTAACGACCTGTGAGAAGAATTCAACTTTAAACCCTTGACCTCACTGTTGGCAATCAGTGTAAGGGTGACAACAAGTATACAACTTTGCAGTTGATTCAGGACTGAATATGGAAGTAAAACTAAGTACATGTAGTTTGCTTAATGCTTCTGAGAGTGGATGTCACATTTTTGCCTACATAATGATGACGACCCCCCCCC